TAATCCTTCCCTAGGGCATTGGAATAGTACCTTTATGGTAAGTGACCATAGAGTTTGGGCTCTCTTCCTCATCTGCTTATCTTTTCGCCACTAAATACTAAACAGTTTTAATTATTGTTTTTTATATCTGTCCTTCTTTTGTTTTTTGGGAGGGGTAGAGTCTCACTGCATTCTCCAGGTTGGTTTTGAAGTACTACCCTCCTCCCTCAGCCTGAGCAGGTGAGATTATAGGTGCTTCCTACCACAAGCATTTTGAGATTCATGAATCTTGATACCTTTTAGATAAGCCTTCAACTTTTTTCTTCAATATGCTCTTTGCTATTTTGGCTTTTTGATTTCCAGACAAATTTTAGAATCAGTCTGTTAATTTCCATGGAAACAGCTACAAAGATTTTAGCTGGGATTGTATTTAGTTTATTGATGACTTTGGGAAAAATTAACATTCTTGAGTCATAGAGTCCATTAATGTGTTTTTAACTACATCTGTTTAGGTTTTCTTTGGTTTTTCTCAGGATTATTTGCTAGTTTTGCATGAAGACTCTTGAATGTCAGGCTGGGTGTGGTGGTGCACACCTGTAATCCCAGCACTCTGGAGGTTGAGGCAGGAAGATCACTGCGAGTTCGAGACCAGCCTGGGCTACAAAGTGAGTTCAAGGCCAGCCTGAACTGCATAGCAAGACCCTCTCTCTCAAAAAAAAAAACAAAACTTGAATGTCTTTTACTAGATTTATTCCTAGGTATATAATTTTATGCTATATAAGTGATATCACTAAAATTTTAAATCCTAATTATTGTTGTTTGCATATAGAAATGTAGTAAAATTTAAAAATATTGACCCTTGTATTCAGTGATTACTGCTATTGTTCCTCATTTGTTAATTCTGGCTAGTATTTTTGCTTTCTTCATGTACAGTCATGTAGCCTTTGAGTAACGAACAATTTTATTTTCTCCTTTCCATGTTTATTCCTTCTTTTCTTTTTAACTCAGCTTTCCATTATAATGCTGAATAGAAGTAATGATAGTGACATTCTTGTCTTGGTCCTAACATCATGGGAAAATCTTAGTAGTTTACTATTATTATGATGCTTGATGTGGAGATGGCCCTGTGTGGTGTCTCAGCCTGAATGTGAGTGAGAAGAAGCAGCTGCACATGAGGGGAACTGGTCCGGGGTGTAAGAGCCTGAATGGGGTACAGAAGGCTTCCCCAGGTACAAGAGTCCAGTAGAGGGTATTAGGGACCAGGAAGATGGAGGAAGATATCATGTGGGCTTATGTGGCACAAAGTGTCAAATCCTATGTAAAGAGAGAACTTTCCCATTGGGGTGATCTGGTACAGGGTATCAGATCCCGAGTGGAATTAGAGGGATGTTTATGGGAGGTTTGGGGAGGAGGCAAGGTGGTGATGACAAGATTGGTAGCATATGAAGAAACTGATGCAGTGAGGAAATAGTTTCGGGGGAAAAAAGGAAGCCATGCTCGCTTTGTTGGAGAAAAATGTTAACCAATGTGGAAAAAAGATAAAACTAGGATGAATGTTGGAGGATTGGATTAGAATGAGAGGTTTTACAGAATTATATCCATTCTGTCAAAGGGGCATTAGAAATTAGCTCACAGGAGCTCTCACTGGCCAAATCTGGGACACTATGAGCATCAAAATAAAGGTAGAGGGCTAGGAATTTCGCTCAGCGGCACAGTGCCTGCCTGGCAAGTGTGAGGTCATGAGTTCAATTCCCGGTACTGGAAAAAAACAAAACAAAACAAAATGAACTGCAAAATAGAGGTAGAAACAGATTATTAAACATTGTATAAAATAGGAATCCATAAATTTATATGACATAAATAAATTAATTCAAAATTTTATGAGGAATGGAGTATTTACATAGTCTCAAAGGGGAAAAAAAAGACTACCTTACTGTTGACAAGCTAGCTGATGTTGGGGTCTGGATTGGTTCCTGAAACTGGAAAAGGGCCTTAATGGCATAGCGGACGAAATTTGAATAAGTGTATACTAAGTGTATATGCAGGTAAGTATATATTTAGTAGTAATGTATGAACATTAATTTCCTGACTTCGAATGGGTGCATTGTGGGTATAGAAGAAAGTCCTTGCAATTGACTGAATGCTTATGTCCCTCCCTACAATCCACATGTGTAAATCTTAATCCTCAGGTCCGTTGTATGAGGAGGCTTTAGGAGGTGGATGGGTCACTGGGTTGGAGTTCTCATGAACAGGATTAGTGCCCTTGCCAAATAAGAGTTAGATAATAGAAAATAAGGAGATAGATCTTTTGCAAATGGGAAGGGAACTGAGAGATGGAAGGAGGAGGGAGGAAGGAGATGAAAAAGAACTGAGATGTGTCATGTACATGTACCAGCTCGCTATGAAGAATGTGATTATCATGTGCTGCACATATGTACTAATAAAACTTAAAATTGGAAAAAAAAGGATTAGTGCCCTATAAGAGAGGTCCCAAAGAGCTCCTTTGTCCTTTCAGCCATGTGAAGTGACAGGGAAGCTATCTAAGAGAAGCCCTCACCAGACTTGAGACCTTCCAGAACCGTGAGACTTCTCAGTCTCCAGAACAATGAGAAATAAGTTTCCACTGTTTATAAACCATCCAGTTTCTGATATTTTGTTACAGTAGCCTAAATACACTAAGACAGACCTAGGAAATGCACACTAAAGTATTTGTGGGTTATGGGGCATCATGTTGGTAATTTATCCTCAAATAATTCAAGCAAGACATTTTCCATACAATAACATAAATTAATAAGCAAAATAAAGGAAACTAATTAGTCTGGAGTGTGGGTACATAGAGCAGGCAGGGCAACCCCTATTCCAGGAGGAATGAAGTCTTCCTCAGAATGACACCTTCGTTTGTTGTAATGGTGGAAACAAAGTGTGAATTCCTTGAGGGTGGGACCTGTTTCTTATTCAAAAGAGCAAAACTTGGTTCTGTGGAACCTGAAGGTCATGCAGTCTTGACGGCCCGTCTTAAAAAAGAAGTATACTCTTCTGCTTTTTCCACCATTGTGGCTAACATACTTTTCTCTGATCCTTGCCATGTCTTCTCTCAAGACTTTCAGTATCAAACTGTTTCCATCTAACAAACAAATGCAAAAATGTCTCACTCCTCAATGGGTTCATCTGAAAACCAGTAACAAAATCAAGTACAACTCCAAGAGGAGACACTAGAGGAAGACCAAGGTGCGACTATAAAGAATTGTACACGAGGGCAGCACATTTACTCTGTGTAAAGGTCATGAGATGGCATACATTTATTCTGTATCAAGGTCACAATTATCTAACCATATTAAGCTGAAAATGTCAATGCTGTCTTTTGGACATGTTTAGTTGGGAATCTGGTTTTTCTTTTTCTCTGTTTTTTAATCTAGTGAATTGGTTCAGTAATGAATGTATGCAATCTTTTTTTTATTTTAAAAATAAAAGCAGGAAAACATTAACAGACAGACCTTTTACAAAATAGCAAAAGACCAGTACAGACAATACTGAGTTACAAACAAAGTGGTAGGAAATTAACAATGCTTGTTGTGTTACATATTGATATCTTCAAAGTGGTTTCTTATGAAAACAAATAGAGACGTGCAATACTGATCAATCAAGGAATGAAATCTTTTTTAAAAAGAGATTATAAATGCAGGTGTGGTGGTGCATGCCTGTAATCCCAGTACTTGGAGGCTGAGGCAGGAGGATCACTGTGAGTTCAAGGCCCGCCTGAACTACACAGCAAGACCCTGTCTCATAAATAAATAAATAAATGAGATTATAAAGTTGTAAGTATAATACTAGGCAGAAAAGTGAATATTTACTTAGAATGAGAAAAGTAATCTAATTCCAGCACTCTGGAGGCTGAGGCAGAAAGATCAAGGCCAGTTTGGGCTACATAGTGAGATCCTATCTCAAAAGAAAGGAGAAGAAATGAGAGAAAATAAATCACAAGAAGTTATAAATTCTTTTTAAAAAACCCCACACATATCACAAAATATAGAAAAAGCTTTTTTTTCAGTACTGGGGATTGAATCTAAGAGAGCTGAGCTACATCTGCAGCCCTATTTCTATTTTGTATTTTGAGGCAATCTCACTAAGTTTCCCAGCCTGGCCTCAGACACTAAAATCTCCTGCTTTAGCCTCATGAGTAACTGGTATTAAGGGTGACATAGTCTTTTTTTTTTTTTTTTAATCAGTTAACTTCTTGGTACATCCCTCTATAATACTTTTTTTTTGTCTTTTTGAGACAGGGTCTTGCTATGCAGTTCAGGCTGGCCTTGAGCTCATTTTGTAGCTCAGGCTGGTCTCAAACTTGCAACAATTCTCCTGCCTCAGTGTCCTGAGTGCTGGGATTACAGGCGTGCACCACCACGCCTGGCTATAATACTTTTTAAAAAACATATTCTTGGCTGTATCTCCTGCAATCACCTCTCCCTATGACAATAATTTTATAATTATCAGTATCCTATTCTTTTTCTTTTTTTTTTGGTACCAGGAATTGAACTCATGACCTCACGCTTGCCAGGCAGGCGCTTGTGCCACTGAACTATATCCCTGGCCCCTAATTATCAGTATCTAAGATAATTCAGTTTGTCCTGTAGGATGAGTGATCAAAATAGATATGTATTTTTTAATACTGAGGATTGAACCCAGAGCCTTTACACTGAGCTACATCCCTGGACCTTTTTATTTTTTATTTTGAGACAGGGTCTTGGTAAGTCCTTAAATTGCCTACCTGCGCTTGAACTTGCAATCTTCCTGCCTCAGCCTCCTGGAGTCCTGGGATTATAGGTGTATACCATCATGCCCAGCTCTTTTGTTTTTTTCTTTCCCTTTCCGTATCTTTAAAAATTTGTTTGGGCTTCAAAACTTGTTGATAATGTAATGTAAAAATTTAAGATTGTTACTAATTTGGAAACACTGCTAAATTTCTTTCAAATATGAGTTGCACGTTTTCAGAATATAACCAAATATGCATTTTTTCCTAACAGATAAGTCCCATTTTTGTGTCAATGAGAACTGGATTCTCCATTTACAAATTTCATGTGCCTGAAGATTGGAAAGATCCTTCACAGATGGGCTTCTGGCTCATACACTTCTGGTTGGGTGCTATAGGACACAGCCATTCTGTGACACAACCTCAGATCTTACATGCTGCATGATGCCTGCCAGTTGGCAAAGTGAGTGCGTACTAGTTGTATTCCTGGAAGACTCTCTCAAACAACAATCAATTACACATAGAAATACCTGCTGATTACACAACAGGTGCCCCCTGCATGGATTGAGTGGTGCCTGCCAAACAGATACATCTATGTCCTAACCTGGGGATACAATAAATATGACTGTATGTGGTCACAAGGTCTTTGCAGATGTGATTAAGTATCCTGAGATAAGGTCAGCTTGGATTTGTAGCAGGCCCTAAATCCAGTGACAAGCATCCTTATAAGAAAAAGGCAGATGAAGAATTGAGGCCCAGAGGAGCAGGTGTGGTAAAGACAAAGGCAGAGGTTGGTGTGGTCCAGTCACAAGCCTGAGAATGCCAAGGATTGCTACAGCTCCTGGAAGCTGGCAGAGAGCATGCAACAGCTTCTCCATCAGAGCCTCCAGTAGGAACCAGCACTGCCAACACTGGGATTCTGGACCATGAGAGGGAAATTTCTGTTGTTTGAAACCACCAAGACTGTGGTAATTTGTTATAGCAGTCCATGGAAACTAATACACCACGCTATGCCCTAATTAAATACTTGATATCCCAAATGTAGCTTGATCCGGGAAGTGGCTGTAGCATTTCAACACCCTCTAGCATAGGAGAATGTGTGACAGAGGGAACACTTGAGTGGAGACTGCAGTCTTAAGCAATTTGGGATAAAATATTGTTTTTTCAATAGCCCTCTGAACACATTAACAGGGCCCTGGCCAAGACCTCAGAAGGGGTCTGGCCAGGGGAGTCCTTAAGGCTTAGATTTCATAGTTTTTGCAGAAGAGTTTTGTGTAGGCATCAGAGGTACTACAAAGGCAAGCTCAGGAGCCAGACAGCCAGGGTTCAAATCCCAATTTCATAACTACCCAGTTGTTGACTTCAGACAAGTTACTCATTCTTTCTGTGACCCAATGTCTTCCTCTGTAAGAGATAAATAATAATAGCAATATCCACCTCATAGGGTTGTTGACCTGACATGATACATATGAAGCACATGATACATTTAACACAGAAGAATACATGCTCCATGCTAAATATGCAATATACTTTAGCCATTTTGTGGTTTATTAGGCAAGTCACTGTCCAGAAATGGAGGCATAAAGACAAATAAGAACTCATCTTTGTCTTCAAGAAGGTTACCATGTATGGAGAAAATAAATGTGTAAAATGATTATAATACTTCACATGCTATGGGTGGAGGCTAAGTGCTTGGATGTTATGGGGATACAGGAGGATTCTCAATCTAGTTCGGTGGGAATGGAGAACATACAAGGAAGGTTTCCTATAGAGGGTGACATCTGAGTTGAGTGTGTCAATGTTTGCCTGGCAAGGTGATTATTGAGCTATTAATTTTTATCACATTTTCTTGAATTCATTCATTGATTCATATATTTGTGGAATGCCCATGGCTTGCCAGATATTGTTCTAGGTGTTCAAGATAAAATAGAAAGCAAACATCATTAAGCTCTGATCTTACTTTTTTTTTCTTTTGGGTACTGGGAATCAAACTCTGGACCTTGTGCTTGCCAGGCAGGTGCTGTACCACTGAGTTAAATCCCCAGTAGATCTTACTTATCTTGAAATAGGTTTTAAGAAACAAGTTGGGCCAGAAGTGGTGGTGCACACCTGTAATCTCACCAATGTGAGAGGCTGAGGCAGGAAGATCATAAGATCAAGCCCAGCCTGTGCAGCTTAGCAAGATCCTGTCTCAAAATAGAAAAAAAGTGGTGGAGGACTGGGGATGTAGCTCACTGGGAAGGCACTGGGTTCAATCCCCAGGATCTAAAACAAAAAACAGGGAGAGAGAGAGAGACACACACACACACACACACACACACACACACACACACACACAGAGAGAGAGAGAGAGAGAGAGAGAGAGAGAGAGAGAGAGAGAGAGAGAAGTTGGATACAGTGATAGATACGTGATAAAAGAAATATAATAAAAATATAATAAAAGGCTAATTATACATCAGGTGGGAAATATAAGGGTTTTCTCAATATAATGCTTTTTTTTTTTTCTCAGTATAATTCTTTCAACTTTTCTGTATATTGGAAACATTTCATAATAAAATCCTGGTAAAACAGTTAAGTAGCCACACAACTGAACATTAGACATTCATTTAAAGTTTTTTGTAGAATATTCCAATAGGAAGATGAATGTTATTTGTTATAACCTGAAAAATGGGGTTGAAAACATTGATTACTGTTTGATCCTGCTTCACCGGTGCTCTCCTGGAAGAAAGCACACGGGAAACAGCTCCTGCACTGGTCCTGGAGATCTGAGGAATTGCAGGGAGGTAATTATGCCTAGAGAGGAGGGACGGAGAGGAATGGCAGTAAGTGAGATGATAAGGATAGTGGAAAGGGGCAAGTATAGTGCTAGCTGGAATCCTGAATGTCCCCCAAATTCCAGAGGAAAAAATATAACAGACTAAGAGAGATCAGAATCAAAGATGGACCAGGCAAGGAGGGCCAGAGGTGGGTTACAATTTCAAATAGGCTATATCTGAATCAGCTCAGGCTGCCATACCAAACACCAGAGGCTGGGTGGCCTAACCAACAGAAACTGACTTCTCACAGTTCTGGGAGCTGCAAGTCAGAAATCCTGGTGCCAGCACGGTGAGGTTCTGGTGCAGGCTGTCTTCCTGACCTACAGATAATTGATTTCTTACTGTGTGCGCCCATCGTGACAGGTGGGGGAGGTTGCCTGTGTATGAGTGCAGGAGCACACTGGGGTCTCTTCTTACCAGGACAGTAATGCCGTTGTGAGGGCCCCACCCTCAGACCTCATCTCGTCTTCCAAAGGTCTCATCTGCATATACTCATCTCCTTGGCAATTAGGGCTTAGCATATGAGTGTTGGGGAACACAGTTTAATCCATAGGCTATTAGGGTAGATTTCATTAAGCTGACGGTTTTCTAAGAAGACTTGAGTGAGACAAGGAACTAATCCAAGACTATAGCTAAGACAGTGTTGCAAGAAGAGGAAGCAGCCAGAGGAGGCCACTGTGGTGGGAGCAGAATCAGGAGGGAGACTGAAGAGGTAGGGGCAGAGGGACAATTATGTGGGGTCTTGTAAAGTCTTCACACACACACACACACACACACACATACAATACAGACAGTATAAATATGTATATTTGGCCTTTCCAACTCTATAGGACAGGCACTTTGTCTATTTTGTTCACTGCCTGACATGCAGTAGCACTTAATATTTATTTTTTGAGTAAAATTCATGTTACTACAGTTAATTATTTCATATATATCAGAGGAACCAAAATAGAAAATCTGACAATACTGTAGGTTGCAGAAGAGAGAGCAAGAGACTTCCATACATTGCAGGTGGTATTGGGGTGTAGAGTGGTAAAACCATTAGGAGAACAATTTAGCAGTATTAGCAAAGTTGACACTATGCATGCCCCAAAAAAGCAAATTTCAGAAGAATACAGTTATGGTATGTTTTCACTTACACAAAGTTAAAATATGAACAACTGTCTCTAGGCAGATGAGTAGATGCAGATAGATACAGATATGGAGATATAGTAACAGAGCCCCAAAGTTGACACTGTGCATGCCCAATAACCCAGCAATATATTGCTAGGGTATATTCTTAGAAAAATGACTAAACATATGCACCATGGACATATAAATTAGTATTTATAACAATATTGTTCATAATACTAAAAAGGGAAAACAACCTAAATAACAGTCACAGGAGAACAAACAAATAAAGTTTGTGTTACTATATCCATACAGTGAAATGTTATACAGCAGGAAAAATCAATATCAACAAGGTTATCAACAAAGATAAGTCTTACAAACCTAATTTAAAAAGAAAACAAATTTCAGAAGAATACAGTTATGGTATGTTTTCACTTACACAAAGTTAAAACATGGACAACTGTCTCTAGGCAGATGAGTAGAGGCGATAGATACAGATATGGAGATACAGTAATGAAACCCTAACATGGCCTTCATGGTCTCCCTAATGTTACTCCCAAAATTATATCACATTTTATGGCAAAAAGATTTTTCAGGTGTAATTAAAGTTACTAATCGCCTTAAAAGAGGGCGATTATCTTGGAGGGGGCTGTGATGAAGGAGGTGGGCAGTCTCCAGGAGCCGAGGGCAGCCCCCAGCTTCTGAAAATGAGGGAGAAATGTCCAACAACCACGAGAAAGTGCGACAACCTACATGAGCTTGGAAGCTGACTCTGGAACCACCAGATAAAAGCCCATCCCTTGATTCTGGCCTTGTAAAATTCCTAGCAAAGAACTGAGTCAAGTCCACCTGAATTTCTGACCTGCAGAAGTGAATTAATAAATGGATATTGTTTTGAGTCTTTAAATGTGTAAATTTGTGTTCATCATTATGTAACAATAAAATATGCACACATTTGCTAAAACACAATATCTACATATATGTATGGAAAGGATAAATACCAGATTTAGAACATTGTAACTTCTTTTAGGGTTTGGTAAGAAGAGTAGGTAACTGGGGAGAAGACAAGAGGGATTAAATTCTATAGAAAATATTTTATTATTTAAACTAGGTGATAGAGATATTGTTTTAATAGTATGTCTTCTTTGTCTTATATACTCCATAACAACTTTAAAGATTCCTGGCCCTTATGGGATGGGGGTTTAGCTCAGTGGCAGAGCACCTGCCTGGCAAGCGTGAGGTCATGAGTTCGATTCCCGGTACCAGAAAAAAAAAAAAAAGATTCCTGGCCCTTAGTCATAGTTTAGAAATACTAGAGAGGCTGGACTTTGTGGGGGCCTGTGGGCTTGGGCCATGGGTTCCCTCAAAGGACAGAGCTACTGACTTTTCATTTTCTGAAAACACCATGTAACCTTCGGGAGGACAGAAGATCACAACCACTAAGACTGACTGGTCTCCTGCTGCAACACGATCAGCCTAGAAGTCAGACTTAACTAAATGAATATTTCTTGTACACTCAAACTTGTATTGACCAAATGAATGAGTAGAAGAATGAAAACAGGAATTGTACTTTCATGTTAGTCATCTAATCTTAGATGACTAACATGAAAGTTTGTTTTGGCTCACCATTTTAGAGATTTTGGCCTGATCGGTTGGTCTCATTCTTTGGGGCTCTGATGGCATGTCATGGCAGGTGCTCGTGAAGAACAAAA